ACTTTTTTATTATATTTTATTTGTTTTTGGTTTAAAAAAATACAATAAACGCATGTTAAAGTGATATTTCGCGCTCTTAAATTGGTTTCCCCACGCACTCTAAACTTTTGGGTTCAAAAAATATCGTTTTTCGATAAAAGTTAATTAAACGTATATTTGAACGCATATTGTATCTGTCCTCAGCGCATGTAACAGAGCAAAGCAAAGCACATTAAGTGTTTTATAACAATCCACGCAATATTCGAAGTAAATTTATGTCAGAATTTTAAGGCATTGGTAGTTGGGGAGACGGATAACATTGAACGGTTATTCAATGCCTTAAAAAACGCCCCCATTAATGCAACATTGAAATTTTCAAATCAGTTCATTGGACCAAGTTATTCGCCTATAAATTGGAAAGAACAACACACAATCGAGCATCAGTTTTCATTGAAATGGCCACCTCTCACGTCTCCCTACGTTCAGTAGAACCATCTCCTTTTATTTCTCATCTTGCATGCCCTCTTCACCCTCCTCGCCCTCCAGATTGTAGTGATTGTAAAGAAATACAAAGACAACACATTCTAAACCTGAGAGAAAACTCGTTGTCCTCAGCTGCAAGCTCGCCATGCTGCAACGAAACATCATTCAAGGCTGAGAGAGTTGAGGACATCCGACATCCCAAATAACACCTACGGCTGCCAGGAATCTATCATACATAGCAAGCTTAGAGACCACGAGCCTACATGCATCCACACTCCTTGCTCATGTCCAAATCGAGGTTTTCAAGGCTTGTGGTAGGCTGGCAGCATGTCGGATGATGCCGGAACTAGAAGAAATGCCTTCAAAGCACTAGGAAAGATGCACTGAATGTTATTGGTGTTGTTTCAATGTGTATTTACGTTTACAAATACTAATGTATTAGAGTGTAAATTATTATTTTTATTAATATAGAAACCAACTCTCATTGTGTTACAATATCACGCATTTTAAATTGATATGTCGCGCATGTTAAATTCAAAGCATGTATGTGTCATTTTAAATGCAAATTATTTCATAATCAAACAAACGCACTTTAAGTTTTGCAATCGCGCATTTTAGGCTAATTTTCAACGCAATCTCTGAGTAATTACGTTTTTATACATAGACCAACGCACATTACGTTTACGTGTTACGCATATATAAGCCGCAGTGTAGTGCACCTTTAAAGTGTAAATCAACGCATATTAAGAATTATTAAATAGAGGTATATTGCTTCCTTTTAAATTCTTGATTAGTAAGTAGGCAACATATATTTTGGTATACAAGGAATAAACGGGTGAGCCTACTGGCGAAATGGTAGAAGTCTTTGAATATATCGAATCCCCCTCAAAAGACTTAAAATATTTTTGGCCGGTAATCAACGCATCTAAAGACTTTGGTGTTTACGACGGACCAAAGATTTTATAAATAAACAACGCACATTACGTATACGCGTTACGCATATTAAAAACAAGCTCTCATGTTTGCCTCTGTTGTTTTAATTAATAACGTATTGTAATCAAAGTAATGGATGAGCTCACTGGTGAAATGGTGGGAGTCTTTGATTAAAATGATTCTGCCCAGGATTAAACCTTCGTAAAGACTTGAAGTTTTTATTATATTTTTACTCCGTACTTGTTTTTTTGTTTAATAAAATATAATACACGCATATTAGACTGATATTTCGCGCACTTTAATTGGTCTCCCAACGCCCATTAAACTTTTGGCTCTAAAAAATCATTTATTTCGATGCAAATTGATTAAATTTATATATTTCGCGCACTTTAACTGATATTTCACGCATGTTGTTCTTGTAGGTCGCGCATGTAACAGATCAAAGCAAAGCATATTAAGTCTTTTATACCAACCGACGTAATATTCAAAGATATTTGATGTCAGAACTTTAAGGCATTTGTAGTAGGTGGGGGGAAACGGATAAGATTGAATGGTCATTCAATGTCTTAAAAAACGCACCCATTAAAGCAAATCTTGAAAAATCTAATGTGTCTGTAAATCACGCAACATTCAAATCTCAAATCAGTGCATGCGACCAAGTTATTCACCTATATATAAATTATTACAAGGAACAACACACAACCGAGCATCAGGTCATTGAAATGGCTATCTCTCACTTTTCCGCAAGTAGAGAAGAATCCTCTTCATTTATTCTTCATCTTCTCTGGCATTTTCATCTTCATCGCCCTCCAGCTTGCAGTGACTTTAACTAAATACAAAAACAACACATTCTAAACCTGAAGCGTCATTTGTCATTCTCATGTTCGAGCTCATCATCTAGTTTCCAAACAACACCCAAAAGGCTTAGAGTTGAGCAATTGTTGGTGGCTGGTGATGTGTGGGATGCTGCCGGAACCAGAAGAAATCTCTTCAAAGTACTAGAAGAAATAAATATGTGCAATCGTTTATGTATGTATCATTTTGCCTGCAAATTATTTCATAATTCAACGAACGCACTTTAAATTTTGCAGTCGCGCATATTATACTTATCTTTAACGCACATTATATTAACTAATAATTAAATGCATATTAGAGAACGAAAGAGTTAAATATTGTCTTTGTACGCATATTAACCTTTAATGTCGCGTAAGTTAAATGTTAATCGACGCATTTGAAGACGTTGGCATTTACCACGGACCAAAGTTTCTATACATAAACCAACGCACATTATGTTTCTGTATCACGCATATTAAGGTTTAATGTAGCGCACTTTAAAAGTGTAATCAACGCATATTAAGAATTAACTTCACGCAGGTAAAGTAGCAATAACACTCATAATAACGGGCTTAAGTTGCGCATATTAGTGATTAAATTGACGCACTTCCGTTTAATAATACCCGGTCGAACATTTTCATATCAACAGTCGCATTCTGCTAGACCTAAAGTTGTCACATACGAACAGTCGCATTCGTTTAAGAACTTGCTATTTAAATCCAAAATTATTCTCCACTCAAACCTGTCTCCTTCAAACATATTTTTGCTTTTCTACTCTACCTTGTAAAGAGAGTTTCAATGGCAGTCGAACCCCACACCGAAGTAGTTGGAAACCAAATCCGAATAGGACTGCGCTGGAATTCAATTAGGGTTCGAGTGCTACGAGTCGTTCGTTTGCCAGAAACCAAAGGTTCTGAAAGAATCCGATCTATAGAGTGTGTACTTCACGATGTAGAGGTATTATTTTTGTTTAGTGTAATATAAATCTTACGGAGTAATATTTTATATTTATAAAATTTACTGTTGATGCATATGTTTTTTTGTGTTTTTTTTTTTGTTTTTAAATAATTTCAGGGGACTTTTATTCATATGCACATTCCACAACCGTTTGCGGAAAGGCGCGGCAACAGATTTGTGGAAGGAAAAGCTTATATACTCATTAGATTTTAGGTGGCCTATAGTACCTACAGAAACAAGACCTCTAGTCTCTGGTATATGCTGATGTTCTGTGAGAGAACTGGTGCTATATTACTGAAAGACGATGCTGAGTTCCCAACATATGCTTATGACCGAGAAGATTATGATTTCGATCAAGAGGTGATCTACTGCATACTTACATTGTTTTTCCCTTTTTTATATAATTTTATTGATGTATTTACAGTTTAGTAACTTTTTCACGATTTGATGGATGAACAGGTTCCTGACGCTTCTGTTGGAAACTTGGCTAATGAGGATGTAATCAATGAGGAGGCTGCGTAATAAGGATGAATATTGACGAAAATATCAAGATTTTTATGCGCATTATGTGATTACTTGTTGTTATTTTCGTCATACAAATTATGAATTAATAAAATTTATATATTATCATTTTATGTCTATTATGTGATCTATTATGTTATCATTAACGCATATTCTACTTGCTTTTTTTTTTTTAATAAAATATAATAAACGCATCTTAGAATGGTATTTCGCGCACTCTAATTGGTTTCGCGACGCACATTAAATTTTTGTATTTATTAATAAAATATAATAAACGCATCTTATAATGATATTTGGCGCACTTTAATTTGTTTCCCGACGCAAATTAAACTGTTGGATTTATTAATAATATATAATAATTGCATATTAGATTGATATTTTGCGCACTTTAATTTGTTTCGCGACGCACATTAAACTTTTGGCTTTAAAAAATCATTTATTTTGATGAAAATTAATTAAATTTATATTTACACGCATGTTTATTTCATAATCAAATAAACGCACTTTAAGTTTTCTAGTCGCGCATATTAGAATTATCTTTAACGCATTATTTATTAACTAATAAATAAACGCATATTATAGAAAGAAAGTGTTAAATACTGCCTTTGTACGCATATTAAGCTTTAATTTTGCGCAAGTTAAATGTTAATCGACGCATGTAAAGACGTTTACCACGGACCAAAGTTTCTATACATAAACCAACGCATATTTTGTTTCTGTACTACGCACATTAAGGTTTAATGTAGCGCACTTTAAAAGTGTAATCAGCGCATATTAAGAATTAACTGGACGCAGGTAAAGTAGTAATAACACGCACATTAAGTTATTAGCAGTGATTGTTAAACACAAATCAGTCATAACAACAAAAACTAGTAATGGCTGGACATTAAATTCAAGTATCTCAATTGTAAAAAGCCTTCTGAAATGAGTTAACTAAGTAGTTGTGTTTCATATTTGCTATCCATTTTCGTTCTCGACTTTAAAGGCGTTGAAAAAATAGTCTGCTATGCCTTTTTCTTACCCTTTTGCTTGTCCTTATTTTTAGGGTTAAGTGGGCAAGTCCTGGTGTCATGGTGATCTCCTCTAACACCACAAAAATTGCACTTCCTGCCCTCTTGTTTTTCCATTGCCAACTCCTTGCTGCTTTTGATACGCTTGCCGTTGCCCTTGTTCTTTGCATGTTTCGGTGGAAGTATGTTGATCTCTGAAATTTCTGTTGATTCACAATATGATTCTATAACAGTCCTCCTGCTGTGCTGAGGGGACAATTTCTCCTTTCCTGACAGTAGCAG